ATGACTAACACTCGCTTCTCCTCGACTCGTTCGCTCTTGCAAGCAAACAACAATGAAGGTGACTCGGTTACGCCGGACAAACGGCTAGCGATCCGGTTTGAACCAATCCAGCTTACCAACATCTAGACTAGACGTGTCAATAACATAAATAGTGGTACAAATGAGAGAACAAAATTTGAGGAAAAAAAGACTTGCCCAGCACATGATCCAGGCTTTAAGTGGATTGTCTGTTTAGTGTTTTTTATCTTCAAACTAGTTTGTTTTTTCCATATTATTATCCCCTACTGTTGGCCAAAGAATGGTCGTTTGTTTTGGATATATCTTTTTTTGAACAGTGTTTACCTCCACAGTGTGCACACAATCTAACACATTCGTCTAAATGCGAGTACATGCACATGCGTGCACGTGTGCGTCTGTGTCTGTGTAAATGTGTATGTGAGTGCGTGCGCATGCGTGCGCATCTGTGTCTGTGTCTGTGTCTGTGTAAATGTGTATGTGAGTGCGTGCGCATCTGTGTCTGTGTCTGTGTCTGTGTCTGTGTAAATGTGTATGTAAGTGCGTGCGCATGCGTGCGCATCTGTGTCTGTGTCTGTGTCTGTGTAAATGTGTATGTGAGTGCATGTGTACCTGCGTGTGTAAGCATGCGTGTGTGTGCATACCTGTGTACCTGCGTTGACGAGCGCTCACCTGTAGTGCATAGTACGGAGATATCCGCGTCTTCGGATCAAAGTCCAGCATGCGAAGAATCAAGTCCTTGAACTTGAGGTAGTCGGAGACGGAGTGTCCGGCCTCGCCCGCGCGCCGCCCGCCGGGTCCTCCCGTCTCCACGCCAACCACGTCGTGAAGCTTGCGGGAGCCCGCAACCTTGTACTGCAGAGAGAAAATCAATCGGTCGTTGTTTCGCGGGAGTGACGGCGACGATGACGACGACGACGGCGGCTCGCTTTGATGGGCGAGGTGCGGACGTCGAGTGCGCGTGTGAGCGCGGTTATACACGAGCTTTGGTGAAAGGTGGGTGGGTGTGGGGTGGTGGGGGGTGGTGGG